AATCAGATACAGGGATCATCTAACTGCTCTTAGGCCTAAGATTGACCCTCATTGAAGAAATCCAGTGACTATGGCTCATTTGAGGTCGGAAGAGTTCGCTGAGTGCAAGGCTGCCTAAGGAGTGTGAGGGGCAACTGTTCCCAGAGGGTGCTGTACTGGTGGTGCTCCACTCCAAAACCACTTGTGGAGCTGCTCATGGGAGTTGCCTGCAAAGTTGCCTGAGGGCTCCCGGAGAAGCTGCTCACGGGGGTCCTATGCGGCAACCTCCCCCCCCACACACACACACTGCCTGAACAGGGAGCTGCAGAAGCCATGTGTACCATAAGAGCCCACCTTAAGGAGCACAGGACACTACAAAGGCACAGATACCTCTTTTTCCTCTAGCGTCCCTCCAGGGCCCTCTACTGACAAAGATTAATTTCATGACAGCTAGAGAAGGAAAAATCGTTACAGGGTCTATTACCACAAAGCAGGCAGTGAAGAGTATTTTTGGACTTTTGAGGCAAAACTTGACAATTGGCTCAATAATCCATTTCCTTTAAATGGAAAAACCTTATAAAGAGGACTGGATTTTATGGGGGCTTCTACAAATGGCCCCTTTGAGGAGATGATAAAAACCATGGACTCTCTCTGGATAAATGCACATGGGTACATATGTGCACAGCTCTGTAGAAGATTTAGGGTTTATCTCTGAACTCAGAGATTAGGCCACGAGTACAGCCTAATGGCTATTCTTCATGTTCAATTTAGTTATTATTCTTAATTTTATTTGAATGTAGAATAGCAACTGTAATATTTCCAAACTCAACTATATTTGATTTTAGTAACAAAGATAAACATTTATTTATTTATTTAGAGAGACAAATCATGAGCCGGGGAGGGGCAGAGAGAGATGGAGACACAGAGCTCTGAGCTGTTAGCACAGAGCCTGACACGGGGCTTGAGCCCACGAACCAGGAGATCATGACCTGAGCCGAAGATGGATGCTTAGCCAATTGAGCCACCCAGGTGCCCCACAAAGATAAACATTTATAAACATTTGAGAAATATAGTCAATAGTGTTAAGGATACTTCTAATTTTGGGGGGTAGGAAATTGGTGAAAGATCTCTGGGGAGAGAGAGAAAGAATGTCAGAGGAAAGGCAGGCAGTTGTAAAACAATCACAAGACTGTTATTGGGATTTGGACTTGGATAGTTGTACACAAAAGAAATGGGGTGTCTATCATGACCTGCTATGCTTTGGTAAAGTACATTATGGTAGCTGGCTTCCAATACGAGATGGCTGGTCCTTCCCTCCTGGTATTCATGCTTATATGTACTCTCCTCCCACACTGACTCAGGTGGAGGAGGAAAAGTTGCCTAATGACAAATTATAGGAAGGCAGATTTTCTTTCACTTATAATAACCATGGCTGTTTAACAATAGGTCATGCTGTAGTGAAATCTACCGTGCTCCTTCTCCTTAGAAGGATTTAAGCCAAAGTTGGCTGATTGCCTTTCAGAGCTGTGGTGATTCTGGCAGCACTTGGAAAACTTATGTAGATAATCTCTAAGACGTTGTTCCTCAAAGCCTTCTCCCCTTGAGGGTGTCTTGGTATGTGTGAATCTCTTTAAATAAGAAAGGACAGCATAGTGGGAAGAGTCTGCGTTACAGAAGGGTTAGAACTCTGGAGGTTACGAGCTGTGTAGCTTTGGGTAAGACACTTAGCATTTCCGAGCTTCACTGTCCTTACTACCTCTCAGGGCTGTTCTGAGAACTCATTAGATGACACATCCCTCAAGTCACCCATTTGGCATTTAATGTATTGTGGTTTTCTTCCTTCCATTTTCTACGATATGATTTATAATCAAACATCTGGGACCAATTAAGATTTTTAAAGTGCAGTGTTGAAACGAGCTAATTTCCCCAGGCTTCAAGTATAGGATTTCATTGTTTTTAAACAATGAACTTGATTAAGATTTGATTTGATGCTTTGTAGCACAGCATCTTAAAAAAATTAAAAAGACAAGTTTGGTATAAGTAGAAATAGAAGGAATCAGAAACCAGATGGCCAACATCATCTTTGAAATTTGCAACTGCAAGATCATCACTTGGCTAATGTCTTTCCTCTCAAGATTATATAAAAAAAAAATACCCCAAAAGTCAAAACACCACAAACTATATTATTCAACATCATAAAATATTTTACCTTCCTGTAAGGTATTCCAAGTTTCAGTAAGAAAAGCTCAGTAATAAGTACTTTATTTTCTTTAAATTTTTAGAAGAAACTGGAATTCACGAGTCAATATATGCTTTTCTATATGCTTTTCAAGATGAAAAGGATTGAAAGTAAATAAATATCCTCAAAATACTGGAAATCAACTTTCATTATTTACAAATGATTTTCTTTAGATTTGTTTTATTTTGTTCACAAAGCTATCTCATGGGCAGAAATCACCCTGAACTACTGAATTAGGTACTAGGATTATGTGTACTGGATAGTTAATATTGTTAAAGTAGATTAGCCTTAACAGCCACAAATCCATTGCTACCTATTAGCATCATCCCTTAAGCATTCTCATTAGAGGCAGTCTATAAGTAATACATGGTAACTGAGATGTGCAATTGTTCTTTTGTACTTCCATTTATTTGCAAAACATACACTGATCTAAATAGGCAGCTTAATGCTCATAGCAGCCTTTAAGCAACTGCAATCAATTTTGCAACTGCTAACAATTTTTCCTACCCCAAAGTCCAAGGTCAACACTATCAATATTTTGTTGATATTTCATACATTTCATACACCTTTTCATACATTGTTCTATACACATATAACTTAATAAAAATGGGATCACATTCCTGTACCATTTATTATGGCCAAATTCAACATCATCAAAACCATTTCTAGGCACTTAATTCAGGTGGCTGTGAAATTTTTGTCATTTGTGTCTTTATACCCATATATTTCAGTCTCTGGAATGTTCATTACATTTTTAATTGTTTTCGTCCATACTGGTGAACCTTGGAGGGACTCTGCTTTAATAGTGAAATGCACATTCTGCCTTAGTATTAACAACTATTAATGCATATCTCATTAAAAATGTACATTTCACAACACCAAGTGAGATGAGCACATTACTCTAAAGGATTCCTGGAAGTCTGAGTCACAAGCCTACGTGACAAGAGCTCCAGGGTTAGGTGGTGGTAGTTGTGGACACTTTGTGGCTTCAACAGGAATTGGACAAAAAATAAGTCTTAGGGCAGACAACTTAGGACTCATATGACCACACTTATATGATGCCATAAAGGATCTAGCCCCTTTTAATTGCTCTGCTCTGCCATCCTTGGAATGCAGGCCTCTGTTCTGTTCATTGCTTCACTACTGAACTATGGCTGCTGCACCTGCGGCATCACATTCCTCAAGCAAGAAAAACAGGTGTAGAACAGGGTGAACTCTGGCCTGTAGAACACGTCTTTCTAAAAGCTTTTCCTGAAAGGGCCAGTAGCAACTTCAGCTTCTTTTTTTTTTTTCTTAATGTTTATTTATTTTTGAGAGAGACAGAGACAGAGCAGGGGAGGGGCAGAGAGAGGGGGAGACGCAGAATCTGAAGCAGGCTCCAGGCTCTGAGCTGTCAGCACGGAGCCCGACGCGGGGCTCAAACCCACCAACCATGAGATCATAACCTGAGCTGAAGTCAGAAGCTCAACTGACCAAGCCACCCAGGTGCTCCTCTGCTTTTGTCTATTCACTAGAACTGTGTCAAACAGCTGCCCTTAGATGTAAAGGGGCCTGAAAAAGTATTTTTAGCCAGAATTAAGTGAAGGTTCTATTAGGATGACTAGATACTAGATAGAAAAAGACCAGGGTCTGCTGCAGAAAACCCGAGTTATAGCAAGCTGTCCTCAGTACATGGCAAAAAATAAAGGGAACCTCACTCTTACTTCCAAAGAGCCTTCAGCGGTCATGGCTAAGATACGGTCGATGTCCTACCACAAAGAATGAGGTGAAGAAAGAGACGGTGTAAGTGATCCTGCTGCATTAGCTATAGAGGGAAAGATTTTCCCCACGGTCAATAACTCAACGGTAGCTAACCTTCACTAACCCTTCAGAAGCCAAGAGGTAAAAAGATTTGCTCTTTATATTACGTGTTTGCATTCTCCTGTAAGTGGAAGCCCGTGAAACTGCACATCTTCAAATGCGCTTTAACTTGCTGTACTGACTCCTAAACCCGTGCAAAAAACGGAGAGGAAGTCAGCTTTGGTTGGTGGACATAACCTTTACATTCTATGTCTAAGCGGTAAAACATCTCCCACGGTACTAAACGAGAGTAGGGGCCCAGTAAACACCTGTCAACTTCTGTTAAGACTAAAAGGAAAAACATGGAAATCAAGATTTGAGAGACTGTCATATCCCTGAACAGTACCAGACGGCTTGCATACATAGCTCATTTGCTCATCAACACGCAGACAGCCTTTACTGTGTAGATAACGAAACTGAGGCTCAGAAAGGATAGCCAGGGGCACACGGAAGGCAGAGGTAGGCTTCAGGTTTAACTGAAAGCCTTTGCTCCCAATGCAGTGCTTCTCATCAGTGCTCCTAATGGTCTCTCCTCCGCCACAGCTCCCGGTACCGGCCTTCTCAGTCAGTAGACAAAAAAATCTGGGCAGAGGTTCGATTCAGCATCTGGAAGGGCACTAACTTCCGCAGACAACTCTCAGGATGGAAGAGCGCTTCTCAAATCCTCAGGGTGTGGTCAAAACAGGATGTGCTGGCGCCAGCTCAGTTAGTAGTGAGGCTGAGTGCGCTGGGCGACGGGACCCGGCGAGCGGTCAGGCCCGGGGGGCTCCAGCGCCGCCCGGCGGCTTCGGGGCAACCGGGAACCCGGCCCGCCGTACCCGGGGCGGGTGGGGGCGCGGCGGGCGGCGGCCGCTGGACCCGGAGGGCCGCGGGCCGGGGCGGGCCGCGCGTGACGCACTTCCGTCCTGCGTCTTCCGGCTTTAAGGGGACCTAGACCTTCCTCATAACAAAACCAGCGCGCTGGCGCCGGGCGCCGCGGCTCCCAGTCTCCGCCCTCCTGCCACCTGCAGCCGCCTCGGCCGCGCCCGGCCCTGCGCCGCCGCGCTGCTGTGTACAGCCGGAGGGGTCAGGCGGAGAGCGGGCCGCGCCCTTTGGCCAACTTCTCCAGCGGCCACCGCGCCGCCTCGCGAGACCCGGGGCCGTGCCGTGGCCGTGCCGTGGCCGCCGCCGAGCAGCAAGCAGGGAGCGGCCGCTGCGGAGGACGCCCGGCAGGACTGTGCCCTGCCCGGGCGCGGAGGGCGACGGTGGCGGGCCCCGCGGCCTTCTTTCAGGTACCCCTGCCCCGGACAGTCGCCCTGAGCGGCTCGGCCCCTTCTCCGGCCCGCGTGGCAGGGCCGTCGCCTAGGGGCCTTATTGCGTTTCAGCGTGGGGGTCGCGGCGGGGGCGGGGCGGTGACTCTCTCTGTTATCACCAATTTCTTTCTCTTTCTCCCGACCTCCCTCCACAGTCTGGAGCCCGGCGGAGCCCGGACCTGGCGGGGAAAGCCGCACCCACGGCCGGGCCCCCAGACCCTGCCGCCGCCGCCGCCGCCACTGTCCATCATCCTTGGTACCGGCAATGGCCTTTGTATCACCCGATGCACTTGTGACTGACTTGGACACGGAATATTGAGAAGGTCCTTCCTTGCCGCCCTCCCCGTACCAGTCGTGCCGGCAGTTACCACCTCGGCTACTTGGGCTTAAGTACTGCTCCTCTTGCCCGTGTGCAACTTCGGGGGCACCATGGACCAAAGCGGGATGGAGATTCCTGTGACCCTCATCATTAAAGCACCGAATCAGAAATACAGTGATCAGACTATTAGCTGCTTCTTGAACTGGACCGTGGGGAAACTAAAAACGCATCTGTCCAACGTGTACCCTAGCAAACCAGTAAGTGTCTAAAAGCTGGGCTCAGCTGCTTTGGCCAGCAACTTTTCGTGCCACGCACTCCCATCTCTCTGTTCCTTCCCTCCCCTCTTGAATCAAGAAGGTCTCTTGCTAGACTGAAAGTATTTTGAGTTCTGAAGTGTTGGCGTGTTCCTTGAGTGTTTCCCAACCATCATTAATATCTTCCTCCTGAGGTTTAGTTAATTAGTAAGAGTACTGTGTACAAAAATATCAAAGAACATGAGAATTGACAGGCATAAAAAAAGGACCATTTTCATTGGACAGAAGTCATCGGCCTAATATGGGAGTGACAGATGGACCCTAAAAAAAAAAAAAAAAAGATAAACACTGCAACCCATATAAAAGCTTTTATTGCTTTGCTTTCGTTAGGCGTTTAGACTTCTAGAACTACAGAAATAGGGCAGTTACTGCAAAAACAGGAGACTTAGAAAAACAACTCAGTTGGCATTATCTGTGTTTGTCAGTGCTTTTGATACAAATATTTTTAGTAGGGGAACTAAATACCCTGAGGTATGTAAGTACTTGGAACAAGCTGGTTGGAACTCTCATTTATTCAGATCTTTTGTTTGAAAGTTAAGATTTACGCAGGGGGTGGCAATTTGTTTTAAAATTTTCGTGTTACAGAAGATTTCCTATTGCATATGATTCATTTTCAAAGTGGAAAATAGCTTTTCAGAATAGTCAGAATTGAAAGTCATAGACTTCCAGAGTGTTGTTCATAACAGTGTGAATACCATTCCTAAGTATATATGCTGAAGCTTATGATTATGTGAGATCTTTATATTGTATGATTCAACCAAAAGGGGCTTGGTTTGCACTGAGATAGACCAAGAGTTATCACTTTTCAAAACTTTTTCTTTTTCAAAAAGTATCTGAGGGTGTGAAACCCATTCGCCTTACCTGCACCCAGGAGAAGCCAGCCTTTGGCAGGAGTGGTGGCCTCCTAGCACTAATCTCCAGGGCCCACATGGATCATTTGGCTGCTGGAGGACAGATGAGTTGCAAACTGGCCTACACCCCACCCCCCAACCCACCTGCTGCTTGTGCACACACTACTAGAGGCTGTACAAAATGACATGCAGCCCATTAGTTACCTGTGGCAAACCTGATTTTTTTCCTCTTCCAGAAAGTCTTCTCTTAGCAGAATTGTAAAAACTGAAGTTTATTTCTACTTCAGAGTGGATGGACCTGGGGGGGATGACCATGTGTTTTTTGTCCTAGAACATCACTGAAAACTTCCTGTGGTTATTAGGTTTGACAGGCTTATGTTCTAACTTACTGATCACATGAGAACTGATTTGAAGCATCGTAGGTGTTAAACAGACCAACTGTTTAATGATACCCCCTAGGTAGTCCTCAACATAGGATGGAAGACTAAAAGTTAACCTTGTAAGATGGTTGTTTAGAACAGAGAACATTTTGTAATGGAGACAATATCATTATTAATATATTATGAGGGAAGTTTGGGTTCTTATGACCACCCACAATGACTCCTTAACACTGATTTCTGTGTTTAGGTGTCTCAGGTGCTATTTCTCTTTAACAGAGTATTTCTTATACTTGATTTCTTTGTACATCTGCCTGGTGGTGTGTCTTGAGAAGCAGGTGTTCCCAGGTAAGAAGTAGAAAAGTTGATGGCTCTGATGGATCCGATGAGCCAAGGGTAGTTGGAGGGCCTTGGTCCCTGTGGGCACTGACTTCTAGGAAAATAAGTAGGAGCTGCTAAAGTGAGAAGAATGCAGATTTGAATTTGTCCTTTTAGGATCTCTAAAAAGATCGGACACATGTCTATTGCTGTTAACAGAATTCTGGCCAAACTGCAACAGTGTGCTAAGTCTTAAGATTCTAGCTTTATGGTCAGATATTGATTTGACTTAATCACAGATAATCTCCACATGGATATTTTAAAATCAGTTCTCTGTCCTTCAGTAAGTTCAGAGGAAATACACTCCTTCCCACCAAAGCGTACTTTCTTATTTATTTTCTAATTTATTTAATTAGGATTTTATTGACCTGGCATTTGAATGTCTGCATGCTAAGTGTGAAGGTGGTGATGGTTCCTTTGCTGTGAACCTCAAGTCTAGTTGGAGATACAGATATGGAAGTAAAAAACTATAATATTATGTGCCTAATGTTACAGAAGAGGATGTACTGAATGCTGTCGGAGCATAGGGAAGGAATGGTCAGCTCTGAAGTATAGGTAAGGGAAAGTGTAGCTGTTTTAAGAAAAGGTTCACAGGGACATTTTTTGTAAAGAGTTGATAACAGGCTATAAAAAATATTTTTTAACATTTTATTCATTTTTTGAGGGACAGAGAAGCAGAGTGTGAGTGGGGGAGGGGCAGAGAGAGAGGGAGACACAGAATCTGAAGCAGGCTCCATGCTGTCAGCACAGAGACCAATGCAGGGCTCAAACCCACAAACCATAAGATCTTGACCTGAGTTGAAGGCTGCTTAGCTGACTGAGCCACCCAAGTGCCCCAAGAGTTAATAACAGTTTTAAGTAAACAAGATGATACCTGCTCTCCTTTTTTTTTTTTAAACCCTGTTATTTCAGAGGTAATGTTATACTGATAATTCTAAATGTAATATAGTACTATGTATGAAGATTGCAGATTCATAATGGGCTAAAAAGGGGAACGTGTTTTCCAGTTAGGAAGTAAGGCAGTTGCCATGTTTATGCAAAACTTTATAGTGTCATCACTATAAAGCTCAAATGTGGCATTGAAGGCTTTTGGAGTTTTGTTTAACTTTGAATGGTATTGATCATTGGTTTAGGACCTGGTTTTGGAACTGGAGAGTACCATCAGTTCATGTTGATAGTGTATAGAGATAACGGTGAGTCATGTTTTAATATGACATTTCTCTTTACTTTATGATGATCAGATCCTGAAATTGGCCTGTAGTTTGAAATAATGATTCCGTAATTTGGGTAATTGCCATTGGGGTGTGAAGCTGCCTGTCAAGAGGGCCACTTTTACTTGAGTAGTTTCAGACTTTGATCTAGTTTAGACTTATTTTCTAGAGATGTAAATATCAACATAGTTGAACTTGTTATTCAGAGAATGGACTATCCTAGAGAAAACTTAAAAAGTAAGAATCTCTAAGTCTAATTAGGCATCTTTCTCATTATCTCTTTCTTACTCTCTTCTCACATATAAACAGTAACAAAGATAGACCTGACTCACCTTGAATTCAGTTTTGAAGGCAAACTTTTCTGGGGCTTTTGTGCCATGGCTCTTCATTTTCCAGTCTTGAGGTCAAATGCCTGTTGAACATGTAGATTTCCTTTATCTTGGTGCTTTATACTGTTGAACTAAAGCAGTCAGTTTCATTACACAGATCTTCTAGCTCTCCTGCTCAGATGGGGAGGTTTGTTGTGCTTTTTCAAATTGTTCCTCTGCTCTTCAGTTCTGTTAGAATTAAAGAAATAGGAACAGAACCAGTTGTCTAAGTTCTGTTATGAGAAGATGACAATCCGTAACCAAACAGCTTACAGTTCAGATGGAAGTCTTACTTTCATTAGCAGTGGAAATAGCTTATATAATATAATCTGAGGTTTCTATCTGTCTCAGTTTTGTAATTCCCTATTACCTTACTCAGGAAGGTCATTTTTAAAACTTACTTAACCATCTCAGAATCTTGACTTAAAGGGGCTTTAATCCATACACATAAATACTTCTTGTTTTATAAGACTTTTCTTTAAAATCTTAGTGCATGTGTTTTAAGAGGGTTTCATGGCATTCATAGAGATAGAGAGCATGAGCAGGGGAGGGGGAGAGAGTAGGGGAGAGAGAGAATCTGAAGCAGGCTCCAAGTTGTCAGTACAGAGCGTGATGTTGGGCTTGAACCCATAAACCATGAGATCATGACCTGAGCCAAAATGAAGAGCCAGACACTCAACTGACACCCAGGTGTCCCCCCCCCTTTTTTTTTTAGTGTTTATTTATTTTGAGGGCAGAGACAGAGGGAGAGAGTCCCATATCTTCCCTAAAATTTATCAAAAATCTGTGCTGTCAGTGCAGAGCCCAGTGGGGGGCTCGATCTCATGAACCGTGAGATCATGACCTGAGCTGAAACCAAGAGTCAGATGCTTAACCAACTGGGCCATCCAAGTGTCCCTCATACATCAGTCTTTTTAAAATAGAATTTTTTTTAGAACTTTTAGTGTAAGTTTTCCTCCTTTATATAACAGATAGTGATTTGATGGTCTCAAATGCTTTTATTTAACTGTCATATTTGGTGCTGAAGTTTGAAACTTCCGTTTACTAAGTGGTTGCCATATGTACTAGGCATTCTACTAAGTACTTTATATGTTGTATCACATTTATTCTTCATTGACACCTTATGATGTATGTTATTATTAGCTCTATTTTATAGATAAGGAAATGAGGCTTGGTGATTTTTTTCCCCCAAGGTCATAGTATTCCTTAGGTAGTAGAACTAGAATTTGAACCCAGGTTGGTCTGACTTTCAAGCCTCAGTGCTTAACTGTTATAATTTACATTGTATGTGATGGTTATATGTAATTAGATGAAGAAAGGCATTTAGGGAATTAGGCCATGTTAGTTACATACTTGCAGATTGAAAAGAAGGGAACTATAAAAGGTTTATGCGTTTAGATGGTTTGTCATTTAAAGGCTATCCATGAATGGTTAATAATATAGCCTTAATGCTGTTCTAATGCATGTCATCTAGTATGTGATTCTCTGTTCATTTTGATACATTTTAGGGAAGATAGGAGAACTTAATATCTTAAAAGATTTCAAAGCACATTACTTTGCTTTATCTTTTTGCATCCTTGCTCGTCTGTTTGAACCATAGCAGTCATGTATTGTGGCTTTCTCTGTTGTATGTGTACCCGATTTATAAGTGGCCTGCTAGTGGAAACAGCTTAGCAGGGAATGACCCTTTGGAGTTCTAGAGAAAATTACTTTTTAAGCTCCTGAATGCTGGTTTTGTATACTGTTGTTGCAAGGAGATAAGGGGTGGAGGCAGTTTGGGTGAACCATGCTTCCATTTTGTAGTGTTTCTGAATTCTCTGGAGCTTTAAATTGGGTGAATTCAGTGGCAGTGGGAGGAAGATATGTTGCAGTACAAATTCAAAGAATTCATTTCCCACAAATATGAAGGTCCCACCTCTGGGAACCACCTCTTTAAAGCTATTTGACACTTGTGACTGAACTATATGTAAGTATTGAAATACTAATAATTACCACTTTCAAAGGACATGGGTTATAGTTCTTTGAACTAACATACACGTTGAGGAGTTTTTACTAAGCTATTTGATTATGTTGATGTCAGATATACTAAGAACATGATTTTTTTAAGCCATACATATTGAGAGACCTATTTCTTCATATAAAAAATTTAGTCTTTTGATACCAACTAGGTGATTTTTTAGAAATATGAAACTTATTGCTCTTGTAAACTCATCTACAGACTCTTATGAATATTTTAGGCATTAGGGATATATTGAATTAAAAAAATTTTTTTTTAATGTTTAGTTTTGAGAGAGAGACAGAGCATGAGTGGGGAAGGAGCAGAGTGAGAGGGGGACACAGAATCCAAAGCAGGCTCCAGGCTCTGCGATATCAGCATAGAGCCCGACGTGGGGCTCGAACCCACGAATCGCAAGATCATGACCTGAGCCAAAGTTGGATGCTTAACCGACTGAGCCACCCAGTTGCCCTACAGATAGATCTCTTTTTGATATCTGATCAAACATTAAAAAGTCAGCTACTTTAGATAGTATATATAAACCTTTTAGAAAGAAAAAATTCCCCAGTTTATCATTTATTTTTACCTATTGTACTAGTAAGTGTGCTTTCCTCACCATATTTCTTATGATGTCTCCTTAGTGGGTGGCAGAATTTTTTGGGCTAGCTAGTTAAGCAGGTATTTTTTGGAGTGGCATAGTTCTGTCTTTGGGCTCCTCAGAGTACCATCAGGATGTTTCCAACTTGGTAATTTAGCTGCCTCTGCTCTACCATATAACATCAGGTACCATGCATATATCCCTTGGCTTTGTCTGGTTTTGAACAGTGGAGGCAGTGAAAATAGCATATCTGATAGGATTTGCTGACTATTGGATGTAGGGTGTGAGCCATGGGAAGGATGGTGGTAGTGTTAATATAAATGGTCAAGTATATTTATATGTGTCTGTGTTGCCTGTATCTTAACGGTAGACTTTTAATTGACAATTTAATTAGTACACTGTGTTAGATTTACCAATCCTGAGTCTTATGGATTTTTATATTGAAAGGGTACCATATATTGTTTTTTCTTAATTGAGAGAAAAATGAACTTTTATTGTGTTAAGCTACTGAGATTATGGGGTTTGTTATAGCAGCTAGCATCACTTATCTTAAATAATACAGAAATGGATTTTTAATCAAGGTAAAAGGTACTGTTATTAGCAGGTCTGGAGAAATAAAATTGTATCACTTTTATAAGTGAAATTGAATTTGAATTGAGGTCTCAAAATCTCTTTTTCCTGATGCTGTAGTCTATAATCCAAAATGGCTAGTTGAAAGTTCATTCAATTGATTATTGTGTTGTTATTATGTCTAACCACTTGTTTTCCAGATATTTAAATTAATTCATTAATATTTAAAGTGAAGAGGCAATACTTTAGTGACATCAAAAAATTTTCAGATCTTCTTACCTAAGTTAGGCACATGAAAATTCCTTTTTTTCTGTTTTCAATCCCAGTAAAATTAAAGAATTCCTTTCTCTTTTTAAAATTTCTGATTATTTGAAGGCATTTGAATTTCAAGCAGCAGTTTTTTTGTTGAGATATAATTCACATAGTATAAAAATTGCTCTTTATTTTAACATGTACAACTCTGGTTTTTAGTAATTCACAAAGTTGTACAGTTGTTACCACTGTCTAATTCCAGAACATTTTTGTTACCTTGAAAGAGGAAACTTATACCCACTAGTAGCCACTCTCCATTCTCTGTTCCCCCATTCCTGTAACTGCTGATCTACTCTGTTTGCCTATTCTGGATATTTCATATAAATGGAATCATAGTATATGTGATCTTTTTTGTCTGGCTCCTTTCACTTAGCATAATGTTTGTAAGGTTCACCCACATTATATAGCATGTATCAGTTCTTCATTACTTTTAGTGGCTAACTAATATTTATTATATGTATATATCATGCTTTGTTCATTCAATTGATGGGCGTTTGGGTTTCTGCTTTTTGGCTCTTATGACTAATGTTATGGACATTCTTATGCAAGATTCTGTGTGGACATATGCTTTCAATTCTCTTTGGTATATACCTAGAAATGGAATGGGTATATACTGAATCATTGGGTAACTCTTTGTTTAACTCTCTGAGGAACTGCCAAACTTTTTCACAGAGGCTGTTCCATTTTACATTCCTACCAGCAGTGTGTGAGAGTTCCAATTTCTCCACATCCTCATCCATACTTATTTTTGCTTCAGTGTACTTTATGGGAGGCATATTGTATAATTTTGTTATCTTCTGTATTGTGCCTTTTTGAAAATTGATATTCCCTTGCTGTGAAAAGATAAAAGCTTATTTGAAGTTGAGCAAATTATTATTTATTTTGTTGGTTGTAGTAGCATTGTGGTTATTTGAAAAAAAAACACCAAAAAACCTGTTCCAGATACATAGTGTTTTTATGGGTGGAAAGAAATGATGTGTGATATTTGCTTTGAAACTCTTTTCCCTCAAAAAGGCAGTGGGTATAGATGAAACAACAAAATATTGATAATTATTGGAGTTGAATATTTGGGAGGTTTTGACAGTGGTAACTGGGGGTTCATTTTGTTTTCTCTACCTTGTGTGTGTTTGAAAGTTTTCATAGTGAAGTAAAAAAGTTGTAAGACAGATGTCTTTTATACAGAATGATGATATGACATAGAAGCATCTCTTAAATGTTTGGACTGGTGGAAAAATGATAGCTTATGATGGCTTCTTTAGCTTCCAGCTGAATTAATAAGTGTATTATGGAAACTTATGAAGCATTATAGAATTCATTTAATTCAACATTTAATTCAAGGGTTAAATCGATTATTATTAACTTATGTTATATAATTTACTATTTATTCCTCACTTAGTATTTATATGTATTGATTGAAGTTTTAGGATTTGTGATGTGTGTGTGTATATATATTTAATATATTTCATATATTAAATTTAATATTTAATAAATATTATTTAATATTTTTATTTAATAAAATATTAAATAAATGTTCAATAAAATATTTAATATTTTAAATATATATTTATATTTATATTATATATATTTTAAATATATATTTATATTATATATATTTTAAATATATATTTATATTATATATATATTTTTAAAAAGCCTCTAGTATTCTATTCGGTTGTTTATATACAGGAATTTGAACTTGTCCCTTTTAGGAATGGCCCACCCAAAAATACTTCCAGGAGAAGCTAAATTGTGCCTAACAGCTAAGAATCTTGGAAAGACAGTTATACCTTTCCCTTCATCTTTGGTACCTAAGAACCCCTGAACCACAGATCTTATTCAATATGACAGGTTCTATTATGGTTACTTCTATCATACAACCCTTTTTAGTGGCCATGTTGAATACATATGTTTTGTTTGAAAATTGTTATAGTTGTTGCTGAGATTTGGCATATTTAACAACTGTTGATATGGCTAATATTTAATTGTTTTAATAGAATTCATGGAACCTATGCCTGTTTTCCAGGAGGTCTTATGGGACTGCACCTAAATGCTTTGATTTTAAATACTTTAATGCTAGCATTGTGAGTACTTAGCAGATTTATCATACGTATAAAATAGGGCAGAGATGACCAAAACTTATTTCCTGTCCTTGGTTGCATATAGAGATGGCAGCTGAAACTCCATGCACTTGAGTTAATTTTTCTTTAGTCTTGTATTTTGAAAAACATATAGAGGTATTTATGAGAGTGGCAGGAATCATAAAAACTAGAATAGTTATTATGTAAAACTGTAGATCCAAATGGCTCTTGAATTAAAACCAGTAATTCTGTATTCTGTATACAATGTTAGTAAAGAAGAAGATAAATGTTATTATCCTTTTAGATTAAAAATACAAAACAATACAGAATAATTGTGGTGGCCTTGAAAGTTTATCCCATTGTTGACTGTTACTACTATAAGGCCAACCGCCTTCTCATTTATAGTCTTGAAGGTCTTTAATGATCGTCACATGTGTGTTGCATTATGGCTGAAAGTCAAATTTTCAATTTACCTTTTTTTCTTATCTTTAAAAAAATTGGTAATTACCTGTATTTTATTGTATCTACAATAGGTAGACTACCATTTGCTGAGTTCTTAATGTCTTTAGGAGAATTTGGAAAAAATAATTTTAAATTATGCCAGTTTTCTGCTTATCTGTGCCTAAAGGGAGTTTTACTTTACTCATATTTAGGCATGTTATTCCCAATTTCCAATTTGTATAATTAGAAAAAGTTGAAATCTTTTCTTTGTCCCATTTCTTAGTTGACGAAGGATCAAAGATTGGTGTATTCGGGCAGACTGCTTCCCGATCATCTGCAGCTGAAAGACATTCTCAGAAAAGTAAGCTTTCTACAACTATTTGATACCAGATGCATTTAGAGGAGATATGTTCTGAAGTTTTATTGATATTCAGGAGGTTCAGTTTCTAGATACTTAAAATCAACCCTTTTGGGGAGCTTAACAGGTAAACTTGAACTAGAAAGTAAAGAGCATAATGATAGATTCTAATTAGGTAAACCATTTTGTGTATCTATCTGATAGCTAAATCTGAAATAGGAGTGTATGTTTGTGTTCAGGCATTAGTCATATAAGAAAGCAGTATTGACTTATCAGTAGTGCAAGAGTAGAGTATTCAAGTAGTGGTAAAGGATTTTCATTGATAATCTCTCTCTCTTAAATCCCCTTTTGACCGAACAGCATGATATTTTAATACAAGTTGCTTGAGGTACGGGATTAATTTCAGGACAGGAAATGAAAGGAAGTCCAGTTGGCCCATCAGTTAGCAAACTTTGGATGCTCAGAGCTAAAATATATTTCAGAGTAATTTTTTGACAATCAGCTTAAATGCTAATAATTTTTTTAACTTAAAAAAATTTATTTTATTTCTTGAGAGACAGAGTGCAGGCAGGGGAGGGGCAGAGAGAGAGGGAGACACAGAATCCAAAGCAGGCTCCAGGCTCTGAGCTGTCAGCACACAGCCCAGTGAGGGGCTTGCACCCACAAACACAAGATCATGACCTGAGCCGAAGTCAGACGCTCAACCTACTGAGCCACCTGGGCGCCCCTGAATGCTAGTAATTTTAATGGCAGCTCTTCTTAGCTCGTGGTCATTTGTGGAATTTATACTTTCAGAACTTTTCTGCATTTGACATGCTGCTTTTTGTTTGTGATTTGAGCAGAATCAGATATATAGCTTTTATGTTTCACAAACTTACCTTTTTGATGTAACTCTTAATGCTCTTTTGAATAACCCTAATCTGATATAGAAGAAGGTCTGTGTCCTCTCCTGTATGTTTATGATCATCCATGGGAAACTTCAAAAAGTCTTATGCTGGTATATTCCTTTTATTTACATAGTTGAAATTTTAGCTTTGCCACTGTGACTTCTTACTGTCATTTTCATTTTAATGTAGTTTCAGGTTGCCAACGTGGTTTAACGATCTCTCCTTCCTGGCTGCCCTCAAAAATAGTGGAATTTGTGGCAGATTTTTCCTCCCTCCCTCTTTTTGATAGATTTGATCTTTTTTTTTTTTTTTTTTTTTTAAACGTAAGCAATGTAAGCTCTATGCCCAACCTGGAGCTTGAATCTGTCATTCTGAGATCAAGAGTCACATGCTGTACCTACTGAACCAGCCAGGTGCCCTGATAGACTTCAATTTTTGGAGAAGTTTTAGGTTCACAGCACAATTAAGCAGAAGCCATAGAGACTTCCCCTATACCTCCTGTCTTTCCACATCCATAGGCTGCCCCACTAACAAAATTCTGCATCAGAGTGATATACTTGTTACAGTTGACACTGTACACGGTATCTTACACTGATGCAGCATTATCATCAAAAGTCCATAGTTTACGTTAGGGTTTACTCTTGGTGTTGTGCATACAATCTATGGGGTTTTTGCAAATGTATAATGACATGTATCCACCATTATAGTATCCTAAAGAATAGTTTCACTACCCTAGAAATCCTCTGTGCTCCATCTGTTTGTTTTCCTTCTTGTGTTTATGCTTAAAAACATTTCTGCCATATGCTCTTTGAAATATACATTTATTGGGGTACCTGGGTGGCTCAGTTGGTTAAGTGTCTGACTCGATTTCGGCTCAGGTCTTGATCTCATGGTTTGTGAGACTGAACCCCACATTGGGCTCTGCGCTGGTGGAATGGAGCCTGCTTGGGATTCTCTCTCTTCCTCTTTCTCTACTCCTCCCCTGTTAGCGTGCCCATGTGCATGTACATGCTCCCTCTCTCAAAATAAATAAATAAACTAAAAAAAACCCCCCAAATTTCTTTATTATTTTAACCTGAGGATGGCTAGAGTTTGCATATGAATACTTCTTAGAAGGCTTTTGCTTCTGGAAATGATTTCTGACCAGTAGAGTTCAGTTATAAAATGCTTCAGTTAAAGGACTCTTGTGCCCCCATAGAAAACATTTTGAACAATATGTTTATATTTTGAATAGATCTTTAAAGCATTTTTGTTAAAGTTAGCATATTTACTTTTTTTCAGGTAGATGTTGCCATTAGTTTTACCTGTTTAGTTATAAAATGTTTTGCAGAAATATTTCTCCCAAAGGTGAATGAAAACTGTTAGTTACTTGTGATTATATGACCTTTGAAACTAGGTTTCTAAGGATAAACATCTTATACTTGGATGCTTTTTAGTATTTAGTATTCTGTATTCCGAAGCTAAGAAGACATTATAAATCAGGCGTGCTTTCTGCCTACCTTGCTGGGCAGGTCTCATGTCGTGCTGTCTCTGGGGACGCCTTTCCCCTAGCATCCAGTCCCATTAACTCCTTTCTCTAAGGTCCTCAAGCAATTGTAACTTGTGCCTCTCAGTTTTGTACAAAAGATTTTGTACAAAAGACTGTTTTATATATTCTCTAATTGTGCTCTGATATGCTAGTCTGATCTTTTAACAATATTGTGAGCCTCTTTAGGGGAGGGGCTGACTCTTACCCTTTTTTGGATTTACCTCAGAATTAAGCCTAATTCTGGATTTATGGGAGATAGTTGATAAATTCTTCGTTTCTGCTAGCTTTGTTTCTCTTTCTCATAATTGGGCATCTTTCTTTTCTTCCTGCCCCTTTTTCTTTATTTATCATTCTCTGGTTTTCTTTCTTTAAATTGCTGAGCCATCCTTTGCTCTGCCCTCCTTTATTTTCTTTCCTTTCTCTATCTCATATACTAGCTTTATGTCTGACTATGAGTATACTCATGAAATCACTAAGCTTAAATGCCAATCCTAATCAATATTAGAACATTTTCCTTAAGTCATAGTTGTAGGTTTATGGAAACATATGGAACATGTAAAGAATATAGTTCAACTATATATCTTAAATCTGTGTATAATTGTTTTAGGTAAAACTAGTTTTTGAATTAAAAACAACGACAACGACTATATATTACCTTGCTAGGATTACAGCAAATGAGAGTGTGGTGAAATTGAGTTTCTTTATTATGGATGCAAAGGCTCAAGTACTGGAAATATTTTCATTACTCAAAAGTTGGTAGGCCTAAGCTTCAATGTGACTATTACATAGTTTTGGTATTAAGGTGCTAAATGTTTTTATGCTGAATAGATTGCATTGATGCATTTCTTCCTTCAAGACTCCTTGATATACAGAGTAATCATTTTTTTCATATAGTAGGTACTGAGTATTTAGACCATTTTCTTTTTTTTTTTTTTAATTTTTTTTAAAATTTATTTCTAGGAGAGAGAGAGAGAGACAGCATGAGCAGGGGAGGGTCAGAGAGAGAGGGAGTCACAGACTGAAACAGGCTCCAGGCTCTGAGCTGGCAGTCAGCACAGAGCCCGACGCGGGGCTCGAACCCACGAACCGTGAGATCATGACCTAAGTGAAAGTCGGACGCTTAACCGACTAAGCCACCCAGGCGCCCCTAGGCCATTTTCTAAGCATGGAGAATATATCGAATTCAGAAGGGTGTTAGTACCAAATACTAAAATGGTACATGTACTGTCAAGTGGCAACAATTTATTACCAATAAATGTCTGTGCTAGAAAGGAACTTGAACTTTGAATTAAATATTTTAGCTTAACTACTGACTTTTTGAACTAAACATTTTCCAGTACTACCCTTTAAATGTAATCTTCTTTCATTTTAGCAAGATGAGTATCATATGGTTCATCTAGTATGTACTTCTCGGACTCCTCCCAGTTCTCCCGAATCCAGCACCGCTAGAGAAAGTCATGAAGCATTGGCATCGAGCAGCAGTTCTGTGAGTTGTTTGGGGAGGAGTAAATGTTGAAATGTTCTGATTGTCCTTTTAAGTGAAAAACAGAACGATTGGAGCTTGTGAGTTGTGAGATTGTGTTTTGAACAGCTTGAGTTAGGCATTTTAACTTTGCTTTTAAAGATCCAGTATATAGCGTTACCCCTTGAAACTTGTTCTCCATGAGTTATAATTTGGTGTATAGACTGAAAACCCGATTTTCAGGGGTTTAATTACTAAAATACTCAAAAAACAGAGTGATGATATAGGTATATAATTTAAAATCTAGGACTAGTAGAATTTCAAAAATACTAATGGTAGTTGATATACTGTATTTTATTCAAGGTGGATTAAATTATTTAAACTTTAAGTATGTTAAATCATCTTGAAGTAGATTGCTCAAGAATTTTATTTTTTTTAAAATGACTGGATTTAGGCATACATTTCAATGTCAGGAAGACAAATGACTTACTCAGTTCTTTAAGACCTGGGTATTGATTTTTCCTTTCTTATTTTTCATCTGACTAAAATTGTTTTGGAATTTTTTTTAATAGTTGAACTTTTCAACCTAGATGTACTCTACCAGTTTTAAAGACAAATCCTTTATGTTAAATTATTTTTGGTTTCCCACTGAAGTTTTATATGACACCTTTGGAGATGAGAGAAAAGGATTGGATGAGTGGAAGTTTGCTTTAAACTTCTTGGGCACGGAACACGTACTGCTAAGTATACTTTCCTTCTTGCTAAGAGTTTAGCCAAAGCTTTTAGGAGGTGATGGATGGCAGAGGTGATAACTAGTTGGAGGATCTTCCAGGAATTACTAGTTAATGGTTTCTTTAAGAAAATAGATCCTTTTTCGTATGGCCTTAGTGGTAAGTATTTTCTAGTACTAGCTATGGGAATTTAGCTTACATTAAACTGAGATATGATTTGTCAGTAAAGGCCCAAGGGTCTTTATATGTTTCCTCCTTTTCATGAGAAGGAACAAAAACACTGGCATTGGCACAGAGTCTTTGGACACAGTTATGTTGCTTCAGTTTTTGTTCAGAAAAACCCCTCTCAACTTATCTCGTGGATATTCAGTTTTTTCAAGGTGTGTTGTTAAAATCTGAAAAGTATTGAGGGAAAATTAAGTTGAATTCCACTTTGTTTTTTATGGCTGAGAAATTTCAGTGGGATTTGAGAATGTCTTAAAAATCTAGTCGTGAAAGAGTTGTCTATTAAGGTCAGAAATCCTTAGTTCCAGCGAAATTGGGCTGTGTTGCCAAGTGGCTATGCCTCTATTCTATTATTTTTTAAAAAATTAATCTCCTATGATGCTGGTCCATTTAGTGAGCAATCTTGACAAAATGGAAACCTTTACCACTTTATGTCCCTAAGACTCAGAATCTCTAGTAAGATATTTGGTGTCTGTTTTACGTGGAATAACCTCTTAAGGAAAGCTTTGTTCGTTTTCTAAGAAGACCAATGTCCTTGGGACCTTCTACATGGGAGGACTTAGAAAGGTAGACATACAAAAAGACATTCAGTAGGAAAGTAGTACAGGTAAAACACAATTTTAATAAACTTGGAAGGATGTTAATATTATATTGTCTCCAGCTATTTTAAAGTGGGAGAACTATAATTTATATCAAATATAATTGTGTTTTAAATTTACATAAAACTTGTGACACCCTTTTCAAATAACAATAAATTGGGGTCGTCTTCAAGGGGTCATATTTTTAAAAGTTCTTGAATCTGTGAGTTAATAACATTATCAGAACATGAGAATTTAAAAATCTTCATTGGTATCTTGTTCAATCTTCAAAAAAACGTTTATTTGTTGATTTTCTGAACTTTTCATCACATCAGAATTAAAATATCGACCTATTATGGGCACATGATTCAAGTCAGTATATTTCTAAAATTCACTTTTTACAGAGGGATTTCATAAATACATTTTTAGCAGTGTGTCTCAAATCTCATGATTGCAATGAATTAAATCTCCTTGGAAAAATAATTACATTTTTGTTGTAGAATTCAGATCAGTCAGGATCAACAACTCCATCATCCAGTCAAGAAACCTTGTCTTTATCTGCCAGTTCTTCCTCAGAAGGATTGAGGCAACGTACTCTTCCACAAGCACAAACCGACCCAGCACAGACTCATCAGTTCCCATATGTAATGCAAGGGTGAGTGAAATCGTAGCCGTGGGCCTCTTAAAAATCTGTGACTCCTGACTTTCATGGTAGCCCCTCTGCAATAATCAAAGTACAATGGAAATTTATTCATAGTCTTTCTTATACATTTTGAAAATTAAGGAGTTAAATAGAGCAGTGCTTTTGAAAGCTGGCAACATACCAGAATCATCTGGGGCAGTGCTTTTCAGACTTTAATATTTGTGCTGATCACCTTGGGATCCTGTAAGCTGCAAGTCGGATTCAGTAGGTCTGATGGGCCTGAGAGTCTATAGTTCCAGCAAGCTCCCAGGTGATAATGATGCTTCTGATGCTTTGAATAGCAAGGATCTAGGTAACTCAAATAGTTTCTTTTTTAGCCCGGTGTCACTATAGATCTACTCATATCTGGGAAGCAGATGGGTGAGTGTCACTATAGATCTACTCATATCTGGGAAGCAGATGGGTGAGTGAGGGTGTTCTTGGAAGAGTAGAAGCCATAGTAATCTGTTTTTAAAAAGTTCTGCAGGTGTTCCTGATCAGCTAGGCTTGGGAACCACTGAGGTAGGCTAAAACTGATGTGTTAATGAAGATACGCTAACCATTGTAGGTTCTGTAGAGTCTTTGTTGGAGTTTACTCAGGAAGCTTGCTGTGGCTACCTTATATTTAACAATTATAGTGGGGCGCTTGGGTTAGGCAGTCCTAGGGGGAAATGCAGCCAATGGCCACAGCACATCCTTCAGACAGCTCTGAGAGTAGGATCATGGAATGTGGTTTGGACCTGGCTTATATAGGAAACCAGGGCACTTTACCGGGGTGCTGTTGCAGTACAGGAAACGTGTGTAATAGGTATTGGGATGGTTCCGTGTTGCACTGTGGGACTGCAGTGTGTGGCAGTGCTCCAGATACATGATCGTGAGACCAGAAATAAGGAAGTGGCTAGGACATCAGAGTGGTAGCATAAACGACCTAACCAAGGAGTGCCTTTTACTTAGAACTTTAGACTTACTTCAATTCTTTTTCTTCTATATTGAATTATATTTGATGTAAAACATTATATAAACTTAATGTGTATAGCAAAACTTAATTCTTAATGTTGAAAATCAAAGTTGAGTATATAACAAAAGATAACTCATTGTCTCACATTTCTTTTGAATGTGAAGCTTTTTCACTAAAATTAAGTGTTTAGGTAGGCTAATTGTAGACTTTCATGAAGCACCTATGAAACTATTTTTGTTTTCAGAAAATGGTTACTGCAAAACAAAACTTAGTTATTTGTAAAAAGCAATGTTCTCAGGGTTTACGTTACAGAATGGTAGCTTAGAATATTTTCTATCTGATGACAGTAATTCATTTTGTATCTTTTTTTGCAGAGTAGGACAGTTTCAGTTCCTCTTAATTTATACAGTGACTTTATTTGGTGGTATTGGTGGAAAGTGAGAGTATTATGCATATAATAAATCTGGAAGAATACATGATGACATGTTAGTAATAGTTATCTCTGGGTAATAAGATTAAAAACATTTTTTAATGTTTATTTTTGAGAGAGAGAGACAGAGAGAGAGAGATAGGGCACAAGCTAGGGAGGGGCTGAGAGAGGGAGACACAGAATATGAAGCAGGCTTCAGGTTCTGAGCTGTCAGCACAGAGCCCAACATGGGGCTTGAACTCATGAACTGTGAGATTGATTGACTGAACCAAAGTCGGATGCTCAACCGACTGAGCCACCCAGGTGCCTCTGGATAAGAAGATTTTTAACTCTTTCTCATACTTACAGTGAATGTATTTTGTAATAACCAAAGCTTATAAGGTTGCAAGTCTTCAAAATAAAACCATAGATATCGTGGGAAAAGATTAATTTCTCTAAACTGGGTTGTTGAGGAAATCAACATGAGACTAAAGCATTCAGCTCTTAGCAATGTATTAAGTAGATTAGAAAAATCTGAAATGTTGTGGGACTTTTTGCCAAATATAAGTATTAAAATAATGTACAATAAAACTTCAAAGATATTACAGCTTTATTTAGGGAATCTACTACTAGATGAATAATGTTGGGTTTTAAATCAGGAAGGCAGTAGAGCTTAGTGCTCGAGTCTGGAGCCAGCCCGCCATGGTTTGAACCTATCTACTAACTTAGCCAAGTCTTTTCCCTGCTTTGCTTCAGTTTGCTTATCATCTGGAGATAAGAGTACTTGTCATACAGGATTTCATGCAGGATTAAAAGAGTTCTTGTATGTGAAGTTTTTAGTGATGTGTTAGCACTTACTTATACATTCGTTCATATTTACAAGTGAATGTTGTACACACATTCAGCAAACAGATTTGAATGAATGAATGCCTCTGCTGGTTGCTGGAAAATAAATATATTTGGGAAGAGCACTTTGTGATACACAAAGCAATTTATTGAAAGTTTAATAAATAGGTTATTCAGTTTAATAACGAATATACTTTAACTTAATCTCATAGTTGTAATTTTTTACTAATGAAGACTTTAAATCTGTCTTTAAGTAGATTTTGTCTAACATAGGCCTTAGCTGTAAATGTGCAAGAGCAGTCAGTGATTTAGTGACCTTGATGAGTTCACCAACAAAGTGTAAGCTCTGCATTCCTTTTTCAAAATTCACTACAGCTTACATATAATTACTCTCATGTTTTTCACCATGTAGGTTAGTATTCTCAGTCTTTAGTGAGCTTGTTAAAACTGCTAACTCCTGGTGTCTACTCCCTGAGATTTTGAATCACTAGGTTTGGGGTGGTGCTCAGGAATTTGCCAGCTTAACAAAACTTTGGGAACCTCACTTTGAAAAATCCCGATACAGGTGATTATTTACCCGTATCTAGCTCTTGAGGAAACATGAGAAGACCAGAGCAGTACATATACATCACCATGTTGGCTTTCCATTTATGTCACATTTATCAATCCTGACTGTTTTGGACTCAGTCTGTTCTGCTATCACACTTACTTTAACTCCAAAATTTGCTGGTTGGGTTATAGAATACCCACTGTTTGTACGTCAGTTTTTCCCCCTGAAACACTAACAGCGTTGTTTTATAATTAATAAAACTGAAAACTCACTCATTGTACCTTTCTATATTGCTTGATTTTTCTAAAAGTAAAAATTGCTTTAGTTCACCAACCAGAAATAACTATTACTAACATGTTTGTAATAGTTCACTTTTCTAAGTAAACTTTTAAATAAAAAATCATGCTATTTTGTAAGCTTTTTTTAAAAAACATAATTTAGGGGTGCCTGGGTGGTTCAGTCAGTTAAGTGTCTGACTTCAGCTCAGGTCATGATCTCATGGTCAGTGAGTTTGAGCCCTACATCGGGCTCTGTGCTGACACCTCAGAGCCTGGAGCCTGTTTCAGATTCTGTGTCTCCCTCTCTCTCTGCCCCTCCCCAGCTCGTGCTCTCTCTGTCTCTGTCTCAAAAATAAATAAATGTTCAAAAAAAAATTAAAAAAAACAAACAAACATAATTTAGCCTGGACGTATTTCCGGGTCAATATAAATCTACCACATTTAAAGTCTTGAGACACGTGGCACTCTGGATGAGTTCTTATGTACACACTAATATTTTTTAGGTTTTTATTCATCCATTTAGGGTGATTTAGCTCTGGAGTAGAGTTGGGGGTGGGGAAAAAGAAGGAGGAGAAGGGCCACTAGAGGCAGTGCCCAAATGCAAAATAAAAGCCCTGTAGCTAACCAGGATGTTCAAAGACTCAGTATTGTTACTTGAACATGAACATGCTTACTGGGCCCTTAATCCCCTTCCCACCATCCCAAGCAGTTTATCAAAATATTCCTTCCACATATGTGTAGTTCTCCTGAGAGGAGATCCAAAAAGTGCAAGTTTCTCCAGTTGCTTATATTCTAGTAATGCCTTAGCTTAACATCTTGGTGGCCTACCCTTTGATCTTCCTCTGTACCCACTTCTTGCCTGAAACAGCCTTTGTTCATCACTTTGCCAAATCATATTCTTATTACACACCACCCAGTTCAAAGCTCATTCTTTCCAGGGAGACTACTTTGATGCACCCAGAACATTTTATCTTCCCAGCTTTATCTCTGCACATCTCAGTACCTGGTGTCCATGTACTAAAAAATAAAGTCTGTGATTTTTCATTATGTGCATGTGCCAGTTTGCTCAATCCTCTGTTGATGGAGAATGTCTTTGGTTTTACTGCATAATGACCTCAATCTCAGAAGCTTACAACAACATACTTACTTCATTTTTCTTGTTCACGAGTCTTGTTAGTCACTCGGGACAGCTCTGCCCCAGGCTGTATGTTGAGTTCCGGTCTGTTTCATGTTTCTCATTCTCTGGACTAGAAACTCCCCAAAACATGTTCTTCTTATGACAAACGACAGGAATACAAGAGGGGAAGCTAACCACTGAGCACATTTAAAACCTCAGCATGTGTCATGTTCACTAACATTCCATTAGCCAAAACAAATCACATGGCCTTGCTCAGTAGCATTGGGATGGAGAGTTATTGCCAAGTGTCCAATGCCGTGCTGGTAAATGCTTAGCAACTGGCTTTTCCAGGGGGGAAAATAAAGCTGATTTGTAGCATTTGCTGATTTCTCTGGTCTTGAATACTTTCACTATGGCAGATTCAAGATACCAATGGTTGGCTCACAAAATTTTTGAACTTGAGCAATTAGCTTTGTGAGTCAATGTTAGCCGACATAGGCCAGGTTTGCCACTGTGGGCCAGACAGTGTCCATGTATAATCTTGTTATGGAAGAGTGAAGAATTGGGGCAATATTCTATCAGAAATGTTTGGGTTAATTTCTTCCCACGAAACCTCACTGTAATCAGTATTCTTAAATACTCACATATTATCAGTTTTTCTTTTAGGGTAAGTTGTGAGAAGGAGAATTCCTGGGTCAAAGTGTTCTTAATACTTTTTGAGACTCTTAAAGACTATTGCAAAAGCACAGTGAAGCTGTACCAGTTTATTCTCCTGATGACAGCTGTCAAAGAGTCTGATTCCCCATACCTTTACA